AAGTAAACCTGGTATACAGAGTAAATTCCAGGACAGATAAGAGTTACACAGTGAAACCCTATGTCAAAAAATAAAAAAATAAAAATAAAATAAACAGAGTAATAATAAAGCCACATAAAGATAAAAAGCTCAGAGAGAATCTGGTTACTGTATGCTATTGTGTTGTCTTTACATTGTTTGACTGCTGAGAAAATAACAACAACTGATAAAGAAAATACTGCTGGATTAATTAAATTTATATATTTTAAAAATGCTTTGACTCAAAAATTTAAGTTCAAGGACAAGTTACTGGGGAAAAGGATTTCTATTTTTGTTTCAACAGGAAATAAAAAGCTGTGGATTCCTTCCAGACTAATATGGTTTGATCAAGCCAGACCCCCTAAAACAGAGTTCCTGATGATCCAACATTCAAAACAGCTTAAACAAGACAGACTTGCAGACTACAGCCAGGATTTCTGCATCTTCTTAGGATCCCCATGACAGCGCCCCCTATCAACAGAAAGTAGTTTGGAAAGAACGACGCCCAAATTCCCAAACATTGTTTATAAATGTTTGTTTTCATTTAAATGGACTTGGTTATAAATGGTTAATGATCACAGCCAGTTCTTTTTAAAGGTAAAAAGGGAATTATGGTATAGATATGAATACTTTGTTTTGGAATGGATTTTCATTTATTGATACAATTTAAGGTCATTTTTGTGATATATATATTTCTCCTCTTGTTTAAGTATTGTTTAGAAATGTAATGTATAATTCAATACAGATTATAGATAGTATCTATGATAGTCAGATATAGTTAAGTTAGTTAAGTTTTCTAGATATACAGAGATGTATTTGAGATGAATAGGCATTCTTCAAACATTTCAAAGACCTACAGAATATGGCATTTAAAATGGTTTAGGGTTTTTGTGACAGTGAGACATAATTGCTCTTGGCAATACCACCTGCACCAGAAAGGAAGATGGACATCAAAGAAATGCATTATGGAGTTTACTTCCAATATGGCAAGACTAGCCATTTGGACAAGATACTGCTCTTGTCTGGACTGTTTGACTTTATGCTGTATAAAGTGGACATGCAGGACCCACAGAAAAGTGACTGCTGATTCAAGATGGACATTGCTACAGAGTTCCTGCTTCATGAAAGAGTCTTCGAGACAATATGCAAGACACGGAGAAAAGTGACTGACAAACTGCCAATAAAGAAGACAGTTTAAAGTTTTCTGCTTTACTGGAGAGTCTGTCAGACATACTATGGCCTATGGGCTGAAGATGGAAGATTACAGAAGAACTTCGGGTGACTGAAAAGGCAAGATGTCTCTGTCATTTCTAGAGCTTATATATTATCCTTCTGTGGTCTTTGAAGGAGTTGAAGACAGATAGTTATAGTTATAGTTTTCCTTAGTATTAAAGATAAGTTACTTTAGACACACAAAGATAGGATAGATGATGGAATATTTTCTTCAAATCTTGCTAAATGTTAATGGACTAAATAGTGTTAACTGTGATTATTTGATAACTGTTATGTGATATATTTTGCTATGTTAAGGTTAAAACCCTTCATGTTATTTTAGACAGAAAAGAGGAGATGATGGGAGATGTCATTCTGTATATGTTTCTCATACTGGTTAATAATAAAGCACTGTTGGCCAATAGGAAAGGAAGATAGGAGGGACTAGGAGACAAGGAGGAAATAGGAAGTAGTAAGGAGGAGTGAAGATGGAGAGTCTGGAGAGAGCTGGACGCCAGCCGCCTCCCCGGTAAGAAAAGGCCATGTAAAGATACATAGAAATGGGTTAATAATTAAAGGCAGAGCTAGCCGATAAGTAACAAGTAACCGGGCCAACAGTATTGTATCAAATACAGAGTCTCTGTGTGTTATTTGGGGCTGGTGGAGTGGTAGCAGGACAAGACCGGGCAGCAGGCGGAAAAACCGTACTCGTTACAGACAGTGGCTTCTGTCCTCTGGGTCTGAGGGAGAACAGACTTCTGCCTTCATTTCCCCCAGCTTGTGAGACTTGGTATGGCTGTTTTAGCAAGCTCATCTAAGTCTGGAGACACTACCTTCCTGGGGACCAAATGTCACTTCCTCATTTATGCTCCGAGTATGTATTCTGTGCCTGGAGCCTGGAGTGCAGTCTCTGTCTTGCTGAGTTTGTGGCCAGTTTTCTTCCATAGGTTTCTTAGTGGCTCACAGCTGTTTGTCACAGAGAACGGGGTCATTTCCATACAACCCAAGATAGAAAGGCAGGTAGGTGTACAAGGCACCACAGAGCTCTACATCCTTTTCCAGGAGACCAGCTAGCCCACACCTAGCACTCAACAGACTGCAAGAAAGAAGACCAGACATTGATGAGTCTTGTAGCCATTTAGAAATCTAAGCTGTTGTGGAATAGAAATTTCCAGTGCACATGAGTCTAGAAAATCCAATCTCGCCCTGTGTGGGGTTGGCAGCCTCTGTGTATTTGCTAAGCAAATCCGATTCTATTGCTGACCAGTGAGAAAGAGGACCCATCCCAGCAACTCAGTGCAGTGACAGCCACATTCAGCTCAACAGACTCTGCTGCCTCAGCTGGCCTGAGCTGGGGAGGTGGGTGACCTCTGTGAAGGGCAGGCATCTCTGTCCTGGCTGTGCATTCGCCACTGAATTGGGATAGTCTCTTACCTAGGCATAGGTGTTGTAGCCACACACATTTGCTTCACCCAACATTCAACGGTCAGTCGATTGCATCAGGAAGGGAAATGTGGATGCTTTTGGCTTACCACAACTTACGAGGTGTGTGGAGTTTCAAATGGATCTCACTCGGGAAATTTTCCAGGGCGATTTGCATGTGGGGTTAGAGAGTCACCACCATGGATATTCCACAGCAAGGTCAATGTCTTCCTCCTCTCTCCGCCCTCCTCTCTCCCTCTCTCCCACTCTCCTGCTGATCTCAGTTCCTTTTTGTTACTGTTTCGGGACCAAGTCTTCCTACATAGCCTGTGCAGGTCTTGGCGACAGTCCTGCTGTAGCTCTAGTCTCCTGAGAACTGGAATTACAGGTGGAGCCACCAGGAGGGCCCAGCTTGTCCAGCTGAGAATTCAGGGCTGGAGGTCACCTAAAAGATCTGGCTTCCTTAACACAGACCCAGGTCCCACAGCAGCATACTCGAGGCTTCAGCTGCAGGGCTGGGTTGCTCTCCACGCTTTGTCCTGAGGACTCAGAGGGGCAGGAGATGGCTTTTACTGGCCAAGTGCCCTCTTCCAGCTAACACTGAAGCTACATTCCCCATTGCTGGGAAAGTTGTCAACTCTGTCAGCCTTTCAAATTGGACACTCTTTGACAGGGAGCAAAACCATAGGTACTCGATAAATGTTTGCTGATAGACAAAACGGGCAAGATGTGGGGAAATGGCTATTAGTGGGGTAAAGGACTACTTAGTCTGAAAGTTTGTTAACCAACAGGAAGGCTCACAAAGATACAAAGATGCCAGTGTTCACTCTCATGGCCCAGGGTCCAAGCAGTTCTGGCACAGAGTAGGTGCTTAGTACAGCTAAATACCGAACAGGCTCAGCTTAACCATCTTCCATGGATCTCCTGGGAAACTGAAATCTTGGGGCTCGATTTCACCATGCTCTCAAAATGAAGGGTTTTTCTTTTTTCAGTTTTCCCCAGCACCATACCTCAGGCCAGGCTCCTAAAGCAGCTTCCTAGAATGAGGGCCAGGGTATCTAGAGCATACTGGAAAGCAAAGAGGAGTATAAGGACGGAGCCTTGAGGGCATGGTTTAGTAGGAGGGGGAGGGGAGGCCCCTTGAGCCAGAGAGGCTGAACAGGTGGTTTTGAGACAAAGACTGGACTGGGCCCTCCCTACCTGGACTGGGCACTGAGTTTCTCAACGTGGCTTCATATTACAGGCAACCTGGGTAGTTTTTATTTATTTAGAGGAGATGGGGAATGTGGGGTCTGAGGAAAACTTACAATATTGGGTTCTCTTTCCTTTTTCTTTTGGTTTCTGGGCATGGAATTTAGGTTCTCAGGCTTGGCAGGCAAGCGTCTTTACCAACTGAGCCATCATGCTGCACCCATTGGGGAGCCCTTTATAAAGCTCCAGTGTTGGCACGCACTCCCCAAGATTCTGACTAAGCTGCTCTGAAGTATAGCCAGGTTGTCCACCCTTTTACGAAAGGCCTCCCTGGAGTCTCAGGTGGAGCCTGGGGATGAGAACCCGGTAACAGGCAAGCGGGCCAAGGTTTTTTAGAATGGCCCCTACAGCAGGGCAGGGTCGGCCACGGTTGGAAAGGTTGGAACTCTGCAAGTTCTGGGGACCATGAAGAGAGACAGCCTGTAGAGTCTCCATTGCTGACCAGGAAGGTTGGAGCAGCAAGGAGACCTTAGCTCCTGAGTATAGAACTGGAAAGGGCAGGAAGGGATTAGAATGAAGGAGCTGAGGCTACGTGGGAAGGAACCTGGAGAGAAAGTCTGGAGTCTTGGCTGTAAATGGGGATGCCGGGTGACTACGTGGAGACCCGGAGGAAGAGGGGGTGCCGCCCAGAAGGGCGTGGCGCCGACAAACGCTTTGGAAACTCCATGAAGGCGACGCGGGCCACGCGGCCGCGCAGAGACACAAGGAAGTCGGCATGCACACGCACGAGCGCGCACGGGAACACACACAACCACTCAGAGCACACACGTCCGCTGCGCACGCTGCGGCCCCGAGAGGGGATCGCAGGGAGGAGCTGCAGCCCGGGCCTGGCTGTCCCTCCCGCCGCGCCCCTGCAAAGGCTTGCGCAACAGGCGGCGGCTCCAGCCCGCCCAGCCCAGCCCAGGGAGGGTGCAGCGCGAGGCGAGCGGGAGGTTGGGGGGGGGGGGCAGAAAGGGGTGTGTCCCCCGCTGGGCTGGGAGCTGAGGGTCGGGGAGGGGCGAGGCCCTGGGGGCGGGGCCCCGGCGCCTTTATAATCGCCCTACGCCCGGACATAAACAAACCTTGCCAGGCCACCGTCTCGCGGCCGATTGCTCACCCATCCTCGCCTCCCTCTTCACCTTCCGCTGGGCGCGCTCTGCCAGCCTCGTTGTCTTCTTTCCGTGCTCGCTAGTTAGGTAAGCAAGCCCCTCGGACGCCTTCTCCATCTGGGGCGAGACAAGGACCCATGAGAGGCTTGTCTTCGAGGAGCCGCTGGACTCCCGGTCCGCCTTTGTGGCCCTTGCGAGGACCTACCTGGTGGCGTTGGCGTGGGTGGGTGGGTGGGGCACCGGGAAGGGAAGGGGCTCTGGCATCACTGGAGGGGATGTCGATTACTATAAGGGAGAAAAAGACATGTCCGGTCTCGCGTTCTTTCTAATTGGGGAAGGGGGTTGAAGTTGAGGCACAGAGTCTAGGGGCACCTGGGTCCTTCTTCCTGGCGTCCACCGTCTCCCCCACCCTGAGTCACAGCTGGCCCCCTGTCCAGTGGGCGCATGGGGACACCTTGTGCGTACTCGCGAGTGTGAAGGGTTGTGGATGGGACGGAGCGACTGTACAGCGTGTTCCCGCGTGGTGAGTGGGGGTGATCCTGCAGAAGGGGGCGAGGGTGTGTATGCCTGCTTTGGAGCCTGGTCCCAAACCAGTATGATCCGAGCCCAGGGTCCCATCCGGTCGCAGGGCCGGGAGCTTCCCGAGCTGTGCGTGTGAGAGAGCATGTGTGTGCCGGGGGAGAGTCCGGGGTGTGTCCCGGCGCGTGCTGCACGCGCCAAAGCGAGTGTCGGCGGCGAGCGCAGCGCGGGCTGGGTGCGGCTCTCTAGGTAGTCCCGGGTTGGCGCAGTGGCTGCGCGGGAGGGGTGACTTTTGTGTGGCCAGGGTCGCTCGGGCACCTGGCAGCCCCGCTCCGAGTGTCGTCATCTTCGCCTCCGCCTACACCCCCTCCCCTTTATTTCTCCCAGGCGCTCCTCGCTGCCTATCTTGCCCGGAGAGCAGCTGGAACTGCTCGTCCGTTCCCGGGAGACCCGTCGCGGTCTCTGATTCAGCCTGTCGGGGGAGATTCGGGAGGGGGCGTGCGGAATGCTGCAGGCTCTAGAGAAACACGCTGCCACCGCCTCTGTCAGATCCGTGGCTGAAGCTGGGTTTGTGGATCGCTTCCTTACTCCGCCACCTTCGGTCTTCCCGGTCTGTCGCCCCTACTGGCAGTAGTCACGGATCCCCAAAGCAACACCCCCTGGGCTTGAATGGGAGGTGGGGGAGGGAAGTCCAGTGGCGCGTGTCCTAGGACCGCCTTCTGCTCTTCCCCACTTGTTTCCTGGGCAAGTCAGCCTATTTGAGCCCTTTAAGCTCCTGTGGAGGATGGGAAATTCAGGTCTCCAGTGCATCTCCCTCCCCATGTTCTCCCCCACTACCCCGAATGAACTGATGAGTGAAATGAGTTTGAAGGCAACTCTTCCGGGTTGCTTCTTCCTGTTAGAAATCCTAGCATTTTGCTTGTTTCGCATGTGTGGGTAAAGAGAAAGCCAGAAGACCCCCAAGCCTGTCTTCAAAGGACTTGCCAACTTCTGGGGCAGTGACAGGGAGGGATGGGGCAGACCACTATTGGTGAGTGGGGTGGCTCAACCAGTTCCTGGTCTAAGAAAGGTGTGAGGGAAGCTTTTCAGAAAGAGCTGGAAAAGCTCCAAGGGGTGGAGCTCTATGGTTGAGCTAATCACGCCTGTGCTTTCTTGCTTTGATGGACTTGGCCTCCCTGTGGCCAGAACTAGGTACCTGGGAAGGAGGACTTTGCCTGCTATCCCTATAACAGTAGTCTGTGCCTCATAGAAAGAGCTCACACACATACATTAAAAATGACCAGCCACGCCTTTAATCCCAGCACTTGTGAGGCAGAGGCAGGTAACCAGCCTGGTTACAAAAGCTATTTCCAGGACAGCCTCCAAAGCCACAGGGAAACCCTATTTCAAAAAACAAAAAACAAAACCAAACAAACAAATGACCAAGACAGCCCTGCCTTCTGCCCTGGCCCCCTTTGGGTCCCAGGTAGGCATCTATGGCTGGAGGTATTGCTTGGTTCTTGGATCCATTGTAGGGTCTCCTGCCCTGGCAAGCTTTCTCCTGGTGAAGGCAAACCAGAGACCGCTAAACACTGGTTAGGCTATCCGAGAAGGAAGTCCAAGCTTATGGCATTATCCTGTCTCTTGCCATTTTAAACATGAGAACAGGTCACAGGTCAGTGTTGTCAGGGGTAGCCAAAACTCCATCCAGGGTCCCATCTCCAAAGTCTCATGGTTGGCACTGAACATGTTTTTTTGCCTTTATGCTACATACAGACTGTGAATAGGTAGGAGTTTGTCTTTTTACCAAGTTTCAGGTGAGGCCACCTGGAGGAAAAGGCAGAGCATAAGTTGTTGTCCTTTCTTTAAAAGGGTTTAAATCAGGTGTTTAGGTAGAAGCAAAAAGTCAGTTTAGTGAGAAAGAGACAAGGGTCACAGCCACCTGATGGCTTTCAGTTAGCTGCTCCACCCCCCCCCCCAGTGCTGGGGTCCCTGGGTACATTGACCCTGGTGGTCTGAGCAGGGGACAGAATGCAGGCAATGATTTTTCTGATGTCCCCAAAGCTGCAGGGCTTTCCTTAAGACCTAGCACCAGCGGATTCACCTCAGGTCCGGTGGCATCCGAGGCAAAGCACCATGATAACTAGCATCTGAAGGTCTAGCCAGAGCAGGCTGAATACCGGCTAGGAAGGCAGTTTGGGGTGGGATGGACAGAGCATCCCGCGTCCTTTTAGCCCCTTAGGTCTGCACAGACAGAGACACTACCTGGACTGTATACTCTATCAAGTGGACGAGGAAACCACAGGCTAAAAGTGGGAGAATCAGACTGAGTCATCTGTTAAAGTCTTCGTGCTCTAGCATAAGGATATACCCAGGAGCCTGGAGAAAGCAGGACAGGATGAGCGTGCAGGCTTTTGTGCCCCACGTTTCCCCCTTCTATAAAGGGAAACACAAACCGTCTCATCTGGGTGTGGAGAACTTGGTTAGGCTATCCCGTGTGAAGCGAGGCTAGTGGTCGTCACACAGGGGAGCCACTGTGGAAGTTTCCCACAACAGCAGTCAAGGATGCTGTAGAGCCACCCCTTTGACAATTGGTCTGGAGCACCATTTGTGATGAACCTAGCCAGGCCTGTGGCTACTCACAGTGCTCCAAGACTTGCCTTTTTGAAATTCTTCAAAAAGCTAAACAATAGGATTAGGTTGAAGGTAGGCACTGGGGGAGTTTTACTTCAGGAGGCCGGGGACAGCAGAGGGAAGGAGGACACAGTCACACCATGCCGTCTTGGCACCCTGGGTCTGGAAATTAGTAGTTGCTCAATGCATAGAACTTGCCTCCTTAGATGGCCTTGTGGTCCAGCATGTTGGCTCATACACTTGAGGTAGGAGACAGTGTTAATTCCCAGGTTAGAAAACAGGCTGGATCTGAGTCAAATGGATTCACCCCTAGCCAATCCCAAACCCCACCCTTGCCCCTTCAGGCCACACAGAGCTCTGGACAGCTTTGGCGTGGGTGGTGAAGCTAGTTGGACTCATTGCAGGCCCTGGGGCCTTCTTGCTCACATCTGAGTCTAGGCTGGCCATTCTCACTTGCTCTTCTTGGGAGATGGAGCTGCTCAACTTGGCCTCCAGTGGTTTAATCAGAAGGGGTTTTGGGGTTTGTAGAGGCACAGAATGGGGGCATTGTGTGGTCCAGCAGGAGTTTGACTTCAGAGCTGGAGGCCCACGTTTGTGTTTGGACGACGGTGCGCAACTTCATTTTCTAGGGTGGGTGTGGAGGAGAGCTCAAGCCCTGAGGAGAATATGAGGAAGTTTGTCTTGGCACCTCAGAATAAGAACTCGCTGACAAAGTCTGGCCCGTGAACAGCCTCTTTGAACCTAGAGTTTCTTTACTATTGATTCAGTAGACCTGTGTGCACACAGCCCACCCCTCTTCCTCTCCAGCCCTTCCCTACCCAAGGATGTAAAATGAAAGGCTCACAAACCTGGGGACTTGCAGTTAGTTCACCTTCTGTTTGTTTGCTTTTGTTTTTTTTGTTCTGTTTTAGTGTTTTGTTTTTGTTTTTGTTTTTTTTTTTTCCAAGACAGTATTTCTCTGTGTAACTAGCTCTGTATGTAGACCATGCTGGCCTTGAACTCAGAGATCTGCCTGCCTCCGCTGGGATTAAAGGCATGCAATACCACCATCCAGCCTGAAAACTTTACATCTTTACTTTGTAGTTTTCTGTTTAAAGAGACAGCACAGCCAAGTCCCCATCTCCCCTGGTTTCCATCCCCAGCTCCTCCCACTTGCTACTGAGATGGGTCTTGAGGAGTCCTCTCAAAATACAGGTGTACGATGGAGCTAGCCTTCCGCAGCTAGCCAGCCTCTGCCCTTCCTTCCAGATCCTCCCATGGTCTCTTCATGGCTGGCAGTTGGGCTGAGTGCCAGCCATCTCTCATTTGTCCCGTGTGTGGGATCACACTGTCCTGTCACCTGTCTGCTCCCCTCTGCCCCCTCCCAGGCCTGAGAGCCAGGCACTTAGTGAGTTCTCTGTCCATGTCTGTCTGTCTGAAGGAAGTCTCCAGGGATGAGGGCAATAACGCAGCCCATCTACACAGGAAGGACTGCAGGGGCTGTTCTGGAGTGTGGCAGTGACAGCCATTTGGGGGAAGGATCTCATTAGGGTGACCAGCATGCAGTCTGATCTTGGGGACAAAGGGCTCTGTATGAAATCCATTTCCGTCCTTACACCCCATCCCACGGATTCACAGAATAGTCCTCTAGTGCGACCAATGGCCTTCTCCAGACTCCCAGTTGCTGGCTTATACCTCAGACTCTAGTCTGCCAAGCCACTAATTGCCAGAACTTCAGTGCCAAGACACCACTGAGCACTTTGGGAAGATGGGGCGGGCAGGTTCCAGGCACTCACTCTTCCTGCTAGCCTCTGCTCTGCCTAAGGCACTGCTGGATGGTGAACACACACACGCACGCACGCACGCACACGCACGCACCCTCGAATGCACGCTCGCATGCACGCACGCACGCACGCACGAGCACACATACACACACAGAGAGGTAGTGTGGCCCTGAAATCCCAGCTGCTTCGGAT